TTCAAATTTTTGGTTTTGAAAGATTCTTTGAACTGATCTTTGCTTTCACCATCTTTGCCACACTTGACTTATCCGATGCTCAATTGTGACTTTGCCTTGTATTCCAGCTCAAGTCCTAGTCAGAGCATTGAGAAAACATTTCAACTCACGCGTGCGGATAGGGACTTATTGTCAAAACAGGAATTTGATGTTCAGGTTGATAAGTCCTGTCATTGTAACAGTTGTATTTTCAGCATGATTATATATGTTGATCGGTTGGATGCTTATGACTGCCTTGGTATTGATGATTAGGCATGGTGCATGCTTCTTAATGACAAGGTGATGTTCAGGATGCAGTGGCCACAATATGCTGATCTACAGATTAATGGTATTATATCTCCCAAGAGAGATTTCACTCACATACGCATGTTCTAATTATATTATAGTTCTTTCTTCAGTAATATTTGTTTATTTGTAAATACGTCTTCTGAGTTTTACTTAGAGATGATGACCACTTATATTGGTTATGCATATTCTTTTGTTCATTGTGTTCTAGCTTGGTAGTGTAAATCACAGTTTGTCTAGGATTTGCTCGAAGGATGCATTCTGATGGCAATTTCATCCAATGATACATTTTTGTTGTGTTTTTGTTTTCATGTAAATGGTTGAGCTGCTTTATATACTAGATTTCACTGTCCCTCTTAGTTTTACCTTTCTGGTCGACAGGTGTACCTGTGAGGGCGATAAACAGACCTGGTTCTCAGTTGTTAGGAGCTAATGGTCGGGATGATGGCCCTGTTGTGAGTTTTCTCTCTCTGGTTAACCATTGTTGCGCTTTCTAACTTTTTTTTATTTTTTTTTATTTTTTATTTTTTTTCAAATTAAAGTACTACTTGTTTCTATTACTTTGTTTGCTCAAAGGTTTGTAAATTCACCTGCTGATTCCACTTCTGTCCTGCTTCTGTTGGAACATTGGTTAAGGAACTACTGGTTTTAGATTCTGTCATATTGCTATAATATTAGATACGGCCTCCATGTGCCACATGCAAAGCAACTAATTTCTAATGTCTTGGATATTTGATCGTTTTGATTACTTTGCCATTATTAACATCATCCTCTATATGACATGCCCTCATTTTTTCCTCGTTGGGCATGGGAGAATCATTAACTCTATTAAATATTTGAACTTAATTTCCTGGACTACGTTGTTTTTTATTTTTCCTTCACATGTGCTCTTCTATGTTTAGATTACACCGTTCACCAGAGATGGAATTAATAAGATCTTCTTAGGGGGATGTGATGCTCGCGTTTTCTGCGTGGGAGTTAGAATTGTCAAGAGGCGCACTTTGAAGCAGGTATGCTGATTTTTCTAAAATATTGTTTTGGACTACTTTTTACAATGGTTTTTTTTACTTGAAACTTGAAAGTAATGATGGAGACAGGTTATTTATTTGATTGTACTATTCTCATATCATGTATGCCTTCTGGGTATGGTGATTTTTATTCATTTTTTCCTTGGTCATGCAATTCTTCTTTTCATACTGTTTGGAATTGGTCTGGGTATGGCAGTTCTTTATTTTTCTTTGTTGAGTGTGCTTTTGCTTTTGTGGTTGCTTCGTCTTGCAGCATCTTCTCCTTGATCACAAGTTTGGAAGAGTTTGACAAATGCTTGTTTCCAGCCTACTATGTGCAGAAACATGATTTAATTATGCTTTCTCTTCGTAGGTTCTTAACATTATTCCGAAAGAGTCGGAAGGAGAGCTCTTTGAGGATGCACTGGCTCGTGTTCGTAGGTGTGTTGGTGGTGGGGCTCCAACAGAAAATGCTGATAGTGATAGTGATATTGAAGTTGTTGCTGATTTTATTCCTGTTAATCTTCGTTGTCCGGTAAGCAGTTTTAACATTATTAGTTGAACTTTAAATTTTTGAAAAAAATACAATTTATGCATTTGATTGTTTATTATCATGCTGTCGATAAAAGGGGTTCATGGTTTATTAAATTATATTTGATTCTCTCATAATTTAAATATGATCTAACATGCCTGATGTGGATGTTTTAGACAATAACTGGGTTAACTGTCAATGTATATCATCTTAAATCTTTCAACAATCCCACAAATGTTCTATAGCTTCATTGGCTTTCAAGCTAAGAGAGTATATTATTTTGGTTCCCAGCTTCAAGATATTTTCTCTGGTTTGGGTGTCGTTTTATTTTTAGTTTTTATTTGTTATCTACACTTTTGCTTTTTCAGTACACAAGTTTTTTGTGAAATCAAAATGTTTCATGCAAATTAGTCTTTCTTTGGGAAAAATATCCTTGCTCTTTTTGCAGAATGACTTGTCAATCAAGACTTGTTGTAACCCAACACAGCATGTAATCTGCTGCCCCTTGTCAAAGTAGTTGCATGTATTGTGTCGGTTGAACTACTCAGAATAGTCTTTTTCAGGAATGTAAATATTTTCGAGCTACTAAATTACATTTGATCAAACACATCTTAGATGGCATTTATGCTTGTAAAATCACAGTTTTATGGTGGATGGATCTTATGTTTCTTAATCCATGTTAAATCGATTTAGTTACACACTTGTTTATTCCAAAAGTATAGTCACAAGTATTTTATGAACGAAATTCACTGGCTAGACATCTTGAATTTTGTGGTTCTTGTCTCTTTGTACTGATTCGGATATGCTTTCATGGGTACTTCAGATGAGTGGTCTAAGAATAAAGATGGCTGGAAGATTTAAACCTTGTGCACACATGGGCTGTTTTGATCTTGAAGTGTTTGTGGAAATGAACCAACGCTCTAGGAAGGCAAGTCCATTGTGACCTAATTATTTCTTGTTACTGCTCATGAAGATAGGTTCCCTCATCCCTTTTCTTTTAGCCCCCTCATTTTTA